TCCTCTCCCCTCCCCTCCCCTCCCTTCCCTTCCCTTCCCTTCCCTTCCCTTCTCTTCTCTTCTCTTCTCTTCTCTTCTCTTCTCTTCTCTTCTCTTCTCTTCTTCCCCACCTCTGTTTCTTGTTGCCCTGGCTTTCTTGGAATTCAGTAGATCAGGCCTGCTGAACGTCACTGAAATCTGCCTGTCTCTACTGGAATTAAAGTTGTATGATACCATGCCTGGCTGTTCCTGGCTTCTAGCAATGCCTTTTTTATAGGACTCTTTTTGGAAAAATCTCACATTTTACTTTATTTTGTTTTATGTATGCAAGTGTTTTGCTTGCATGCATGTTTATTGCATGCCCTAGAATATTTTGCTTGCTTGTTTGTACACCACAAGCCCTGGTGGCCAAAGATAGAAGAAGGCATTGGGTCCCCCTGAAACTGAAGTTATGGATGCTTATGAGCTGCCACGTTGTTCTGGGGAGTAAACCCAGGTTTTCTGCAAGAAACAGCTTCCTGTGGAGCTGTTTTCAGTCCCACAGGATTTTTTTGATAGTTATTGGTTAGTTTTTCTTCACATGCCTGTGATCTTAGTAAAGTATGGAAGATGGGGCCAAGGAAGGGCAGAAATAGCTTTAATGCCCTTCCCATGTGTCATGGAGTCTGCATGGATATGGCCCTGCCCATGGCCATAGAGCAGCTTGTGAGCAGACAAGGGAGGGGTGTGCTGCCCTAGCTGGTGGCTGTGTCTTTAGTAGGAGATGGCTGGGGACTAACACATAGGCTCAGAGGGGGCTCAGTGATGGAGTGATGATGGGGTGACTAAGGGTGCCCCTTTACTGAGTTCACTCTGACCATACTAAGTAAGACATTTCAGGGGCTTGGTCCTGCAGTTTTCCCTTCCTTGGGACAGCACCTTACCTCTGTGGCTAAAACCCCTCATCTGACTCCCTGAATTTCTCAAATCCAGACCCCAGGATGATGGACAAAATACTGGAAGTGAAGAGTGATGCCCAGATGTTGAGAGGTCGTGTGGACAACGTCAGCACCCTGCGTTCTGATCTCGAGAAGGACAGAAGCCGTGTGGAGAAGGCTGAAGTTCAGATGCAGATGCTGAACACCAGCCTCACCCGGGTGCGTTCTCAGATCCTGACTTTGAGGAACAGCATGGAAGTAGTCAGTGCCCACATCACTATGTTAACAAGAAGCTGGGAGGAGGTCGGCAACCTCAACGCCAAGATCCCAGAGCTGCAAAGAGATCTGGATAAAGCCAGTGCCTTGAATGCAAAGGTCCGAGGACTGCAGAACAGCTTGGAGAACATCAACAAGCTGCTCCAACAACAGAGTAAGTAAACGAGAAGATCATCCTGCAGGCTGAACGGTGGCCACAAAACCCCACCTGTCTCAAACAGGCAGCAGGCCGGTTTGTGGGTGGGCAGGGGAAAGGGAAGTGGGTGGACTGGAAAGTTAACAAGGAAGGTGTCTTCATTAGGGTTTACTAAGGCTGTCCGTGGCAACTGCTATAAAGAAAACATTTAACTGAGGGTGTCTCACAGTTTCAGAGGTCCAGTCCATTATCATCATGATGGGAAACATGGCAGCATGTAGGCAGACATGATGGAGCAGCTTAGAGACCTACATCTTGACAGGCAGGCAGCAGGAAGTCACTTGACTGTCACACTCAGAGAAGCTTGAGGAAAAGGGACCTCAAAGCCTGTCCTCACAGTGGCACATTTCCTGCTAATAGTGCCACTCCCTTTGGGGGCATTTTCTTTCCAGTCACCACAGAAAGTCTATTGGTCTGAGAGGACTTGGGGCAGTGAGGAGAGAAAACACCAGGCCTAACTTGGGTCTCTACACTAAGCTGCAGAGCATAGAAGCATTAGGGGGTATCCTGGCGTTCTGTATGGTCTGGAAAATATACGTATTTTGGGTTTTGAGTGAGTGAGTTTATTTTTTAAAAATATTTATTTATTTATTTATTTACTATGTATACAATATTCTGCCTGTGTGTATGCCTGATGGCCAGAAGAGGGCATCAGACCTCATTACAGATGGTTGTGAGCCATCATGTTGTTGCTGGGAATTGAACTCAGGACCTTAGGAAGAGCAGGCAATGCTCTTAACCTCTGAACCATCTCTCCAGCCTTGAGTGAGTGAGTTTAAAAGTATATAATGAACTAAAAATAAAAGAATGAATGACAAATGATATATGGATCGATGATTGATAGGTAGATAGACTGATACATAAGTGATAGATTGATATAGCAAAGCATAAAATTGGACACTGAAAACATCCAACAGACATCACCTGGGGAAGCTTTGATGAAGCCATTTGCTGAAGTTTCTGTTAGAGTCCCTGAGGAGAAGAGGGTCCCTGAGGAGCAGAGGGTCCTGGAGGAGCAGAGGGTCCTGGAGGAGCAGAGGGTCCTGGAGGAGCAGAGGGTCTCCAAGGAGCAGTGGGTCCCTGAGGAGCAGAGGGTCCCTGAGGAGCAGAGGGTCCCTGAGGAGCAGAGGGTCTCTAAGGATCAGAGGGTCCCTGGGAGCAGAGGGTCTTCAAGGAGCAGAAGGTCCCTAAGGAGCAGAGGGTCTCTGGGAACAGAGGGTCCCCAAGGAGCAAAGGGTCCTAGAGTAGCAGAGGGTCCCCAAGGAGCAGCTGGTCCCCGAGAAGTAGAGGGTCCCCAAAGAGCAGAGGGTCCCTTGGAGCAGAGGGTCTCCAAGGAGCAGAGGATCCCCAAGGATAAGGCTTTCAAGAAAAGGAACAAATAGCAGCTGGAAGGAGACATCATCCAATCCAGAGCTACAACATCCAGCAGAAACGGACTCAGGAAGTCTAAGCAGTCATCTGGAGTTCCAAGTTGAACTTTCTCTCCTTAGATGGCACTTTGAGACAATCATACTTGGGTTTAAAATCGGGAGGAGTGAGCATACCCTCCAGGGCCAGCTTCTCGTTGAGCTCACATAGTAACATTTTATTAATATATGTTACACATGGCCTGTATCTTGCCCTTTCCCGTGAAGTTCATTACTGTGAGCCAGGTCCTAGGACCTCTGTGTTCCTCTAATATTCTCCCCTCCCTGCCACTGTACCTTTTCTGGCTTCATGTGGTCTGTCCACAAATCTCATGCCTTTAGGGTTCCAACAGAATCCTTTAGGTGTCCCCAATCCCCAACTCCAGGAACCCAAGGACTCTTAGATCTGGATCCATTCACTGCTGTCCCCAGGATCTCACTGAACAAACATCCCCAGCCAGGATGCAGTCGAACCAGGTGCATCGTGGTTACCTCAGGCCCTGTTTTCCAGGTGACATTCTGGAGATGGTGTCCCGAGGCTGGAAGTACTTCAGGGGGAACTTCTATTACTTTTCACACACCCCAAAGACCTGGTACAGCGCGGAGCAGTTCTGCATTTCTAAAGAGGCTCATCTGACCTCAGTGACCTCAGAATCAGAGCAAGTGAGTACAGTCATCACTGGCTCTGTGAACAGCATGCCAGAAAGTCTGGGCAGGAGTTTGCTGCAGTAACAAAATTCCTTTACTGTCCATGAGCTAACAACGAAAGCTTATTTTTTTCTGTGCATGTGTGCATCTCTCTCTCTCTCTCTCTCTCTCTCTCTCTCTCTCTCTCCATATGTGTATATGTGTGTGCGCGCGCGCGCGTGTGTGTGTGTGTGTGTGTGTGTGTGCAGGAACATGCATCCGTGCATGTGTGGAGGACATCAAATGTCCTGTTCTATCACTGTCTCATTCCTTGAACACTGACTGGTAGCTACCAAATAAGTCCCAACAATCCTCTGCCTCTGCCTTCCACAGGGCTGGGGTTATTGGGTGCCCTGGATTTGAACTCAGAAACTCATGCTTGTGTAGCAAGTGCTCCTACCCACCGGGTCATCTAGCTTCCCCAATCCAAAGGTTTATTTCTCATAAATATTACACATCTCGCAGGGGACAGCAGAGGTTCTGTTCACAGTGGGTAACAAGTTCTTAAACCGAGAGGCTTTATTTCAACATACATCCACAGTTTCTGAAGCAGCAAGGAGACATGGCCAGCTTCATAGGCTGTTAAAGCTCCTGCCCTCAATTAACATGTCATTTCTACTTATGGGTCCCCAGCAAGAGCCACACACAATCCTGCTAGCGTCAAGGAGGACAGCAAGGGGGCGCTCTTTCCACATGCTAGAAGATAGAAATATTTGTGAACAGCATTAATGATAGCCCGGAACCCAGGCAGCAGAGTGTGTAGACTGGGTCATTGATCTGGGAGGCAGAGAAGGGAAGCAGATGAGGACCCAGGTCTGTACTAGCTGATGTCACTGTCTGTCATCAACCTTGCCCTGGAGCCTTGGGGAGGTGGCTTTCTTTCCTAGGCCTCACCTTAGTGACTGGATGAAATCATGCCTGCCCTGGAGGGTAAAGGAGGGAGGGAGGCACAACACGCCTTCCAGTGGCCGGCACAATTTTGGTCTCCGGTAATTTAGGTATTTCTTCTCAGGCCATCCCCTTGGTGTCCCTTGTCTGCAGTTTAGCTGATTTTCCATCTTCCCAGTCCTTCTTTCCTTCCGTTCTGTCATTCGTTTTTAAGACAGGATCTCAGTATGTAACTCAGGATGGCCTTGAATTATCAATCTTCTGCCGCAGACTCCAAAGTGCTGGGATCACAGGCCTCTGCTGCCACACCCGGCAGGCTGAGTCCCCCTGTTCTCCCTCCAGCACCTCACTAAAAAGCACAAGCTCCAAGTTTGTTAGCTGATAAGCAATGGGCAGCTAGGACATGGATGTGGGCTCTGGGCTCCAGGCCTGGGCATGGAGGCACTGAGGGAGGATGCTGTACCTGAGAGTCTGCAAGTCTCACGGGGCATCATCGTCAAATTCAGGGACCGACGCTGTGCACAGGTGAAGAGTAGCCAACAGGTAGGTACCAAAAGGTGTGGCGGTGGCTGAGCCTCCTCACTTCATCTGTGCCCCCCACAGGAGTATCTCTACAAGACGGCAGATGGGCTTCCATTCTGGATTGGTCTCACCAAGGCAGGGACTAACGGCGATTGGTACTGGGTGGATGAGACGCCATTCAACATGGAGCAAAGCAGGAGGTGAGTGGTTGGCTGTGCCCTCCTTCCCAGCCTGGCTTGCCAGGGGCTGAGTTCCCGTGAACACAGTGGCAGCCCTGGAGGGGACATTCAGCTAAAAGCTGCTGCTGCTCACTGGGTGGTACCTGGGGCCAGTTAGGAACCTGCATGTCCCATGCAGCTGGGCAGCAAGACCTTCTGCCCCGCTGGGGTGAGGGTCTGACCCAAGTCCAGGCCTGTGCAGTAAGGGATTGTGAGATCCTTGAGAGAAGCGGGGTGGGGGCACAGCAGGAGGCTTAGAGTTCAAGGTCCACTCATCTTCTTAGGTTGTCACCAGGGACGAGAACTGATCAACATTGAATTGAAACTCAATTTTGGGATTAAATTAACTCATCAAATTTATTTATTTATTTATTTATTTATTTATTTATTTATTTATTTTCTTGTGTGTGTACATAATGTATATGAGAACCTGGGGCACATGTGTGTAGAGGTCAGAGGACGACTTGTCTGAGTCTGTTCTTTCCTGCCATATGGGTCCTGGGGTTTAGACTCAGGCCATCAGGTTTGGTTGCAGGTGCCCTAACCCACAGAGCTATCTTTCTAGCCTCTAAAATAGCTGATTTTAAAGACAGCATCTCATGTATCCCGGGTTGGCTAAGGACTTGCTATAGAGCCTAGGTTGACCTTGAACTTCTGGTCCTCCTGCCTCATCCTCCTGAGTGCTGGGATAAAGGCGGTGCCATGGCTCTGATGCAGATCTTCCTGCCTGCTAGGCAAGCATCCTGCCAGGGGCATAAAGTGTCTTTGTTTTCTCCCTTGGTTAGGTTCTGGATTCCGGGCGAACCCAACAATACAGGAAACAACGAACACTGTGCCAATATCAGGGTGTCCTTCCCGCAAGCCTGGAATGATGCTTCCTGTGATAGTAAGCTCCTTTTCGTCTGCAAGCGGCCCCACATCTAGACAATCCCATGACGGGCCTGGCCCCAAGCTCAGCATTTGTGTTGCAACAGTGACCCAGATTGAAGCGGTGTCGCTCTCCCTGACACTCCAAGACTGCTCTGTGCCTTAGCGTTTCTTGCTTGAATATTGTCCCAAACACATCCTGGGGTCCATCTGGGTTGGCCGGAACTCTCTGCCCTGGAGGGACTTCGAGGGGGTCGAGTTTAATGGGCAAAACCATGCAAAGGATGTAGAAGTCCCCACTGCCCAGGTGAGGCAGGTGCACCTGTCACCTGCAGATCATTTTGTCTGTGTTTACCTGACCCTTCTAAGAAGCCTTGGATGACCACATGAAAGCTACATTCGCATGTGACCAGTGCTGGAGGAGACAGGAGTGTTTAGCTCAGCTTCAACACTTTATAATGTATACATGCAGTAGAACAGCACCTGGTACTATCAAAATGTGCAACTATTCAATGTTTTCTTGTATCCATTGCAAATACATTTAAAGACATTTTTTTTTCCCACACGTGCGTGTGGGTGATCCCAGAGTTCAGAAGAGGGTGTCGAATCCCGTGTATCTGGAGTTACAGCTGTTTATGAACAACCTGATATGGGTGCTGACATCCAAACTCTGCCCTTCTGAGAGAGTAGTAAGTGCCCTTAACTGCTGAGCCATCTCTTTAGTCCTGTAAATTTAAATTATAAAAAGGATGAAAAATATAAAAACATATGTCACAATGCTGGAGGTGTGGCTCAGGGGATAAAGTCCTCTGGCACCGGTGACCCCGAGTCTGACCAGCAGGACCACACAAACAGGTGTGGCCATGCACCCCTGTGATCCCAGCAGCGAGGAGGTGGAAGGAGGAGGGTCAGAAGTTCAAGGTCATCCTCAACTAAATAGTTACATTTGAGGCCAGCCTGCTATGCAAGATCCTGTTTTGGGAGAGGGGACAATTTGCTTCAAGATACTAAGCAATTCTTTCCATATTTCTACGAGGCTCTCTCTAGTTGTCTGTTGAGGAGCACTGACAGGGGCCTCTGGCTGTTTCCATGGGAACAGCTGTTCTTAGTCACCCTGTTCCCACCAGGTTCCATCACCTCCTTATCCACATTCCTTGAGGACGGAAGCCCCATTTCTCTGAGTGAGATAACTCAGTGCAGGCCGGGGCTGGCAGGTCCTCTGCCTTCATTTGAGATGCTTGGTTCAGCTCCCCTTCCTCCTGCCCCCAGGCCATCACAGGCCCAGTCCTCCCCCACTACAGCAGCCTGGGTCTCCCACCTCTCCTCTACATGGGGTTCCCTCTCTTGCTAAGTCCTGTGCAGACAAAGTCCTCTTCTACTCTAAACATCTCTTGGCTCAAAGCTTCCTTGGAGTGCCTGCTTCCATTCCCAGGGCCACTGTGACCCTAAAGAACATGCAGCTTGGGGTACATTCAGTTAGAGGGTAGAAAGAATAGGGGCTTTTGTTTGAATTAAATATGATAAGGTTTGAACAAAGCCCCTTCCTGGAGTTCCTTGTTAGTCAGCCTTCTGTTCTTTAGCTCTGTTCCCAGGGGAACCTTGTTGAGGTCCTTATTCTTCACAGAGGCTGGGTTTTCAGATCCAAACTGGAATATAACCTGGAGACTAAGGCCTGAAAACCAAGGGATCACCAGCAGGGGGCAGAAGAAAGAGTTCAGGAGGTGTGAGCCCAGCTCCATTGAGAGTTCCCAGGAGAGACATAGCCTTTTTACATGGGCAGTCAGCATGGTACTGGGAGTGAGAAGGAGAGCAGAGTGTAGGCTTGTTGTTGCTTTCTGGTTTTTTTGTTTGTTTGTTTTGTTTTTTTGTTTTGTTTTGTTTTCTTTTCTTTTGTTTTTGACACGGACTTTCTACGTGGTCCTGCTTGGCCTTTCAAGTGCTGTGACAAAAAGTGTGTGTCACCACACCAGGTTGTAGGCTTGTGTACAGTGTCAAGACATCTTTGGGGATCCTCCCAGGGCCCCAAAAACCTCAGCTTGAGGTTCCTTGCTCTTACCAGTAGTCCCCACGTTCTGAAGCTTCCCCTTCTGGCTAGCGTACCCCACCATGGGGCCAACTGCCTTCCTTTCCGTTTCCAATGTGAGCTAAAGAAACTCCATTTTGTGCTAGGCATTCATCTGGGTACCTAATAGCCATTCTGTAGCCGACCTCAAGCTCCTGGAAGTTAAGTTCCCTGCAACCTTGACTCCTTGACCTCCACCCAGAAATGTATGTCCATGATGTGACCGTCTGCATGTTATGATATGGCTAACTGCTAAATTTTGGCTTCTGTAACCTGCTTAGGCAGACATTCAAGGACTGTTTTTAAGGTCATCTTGATCACTTAATCTTGGCCAAGCAGAACAGCTCTTGTGGTTTTTGCCTTTAAAAGCCTTTCTTCATCTGCCTCTGGGTGGCACGTCTCTGATTTGGGTTAGAGACTGCAGGCCTGCTAGCAGTTTTAATACATTTGGCTAATTACAACCTGAATTGAGTCTGGTGGTCTTTCCCCAGTAGTCTCAAGCTCCACAACATCTGGAGATCCCAGCAAGATCCTAGGAAAACACAGATTCAGGGCCTGGGGTCCAGGATAGGTTCTAGTGGGGGCAAGTCTAGGGTGGATGTGGAGGCCCCAGGAAGTCTGTGACCATGGCCGCCACAAATTAAAGAACCACTAGTTAGGGAGGTGAGGTCCTAAATGGAGTCAAATAACACAACCCAGAGGCCCCTGGAATGAGCAGCCCTGGTTGGGGGCAAGCACATTGGTGAACTTGGGGGACCGGGGCTGACCCAGCCTGTGACCCCTTCTAATTTTCAAAATAGAACCAAAACAAAAGAATTGCTAGCTTAAAACAAGACTGATCATGAGTTTTTCTAGATGTCTGGACATTTGGGGACTCATAGGGGAGATGAGATGTGATCATAGGCCCGGTCTCCAGACTCAGTAGGAGATATGCTTCTAAGGTGTGCTTATAAGTTTTCTTGTAGGAATGGGAAGAAGACTGAGCACAGCCAAGTTGCCATTGAATTTCATGCTGTAACACTTGAAGGAGTTCTGCGAAGCAGACTACAGAGCTAAGATGTCACCTAGACAGCTCCTCACTCTCTGTGAACTAGAATGCCCCAGTTTTGATGTGGGATGGCCAGATGAGGGCCATTTGACCCTCAAAATGCCAAGGAAGTCTAGTACATAGTCACAGGAACTCTGGCTACCTGGACAGTTCTGTTACATTGACAGCTTCTCTTCCTCCTTCCCAATCCCCTTCTTGGCAGAAAGGTCATAAACCTTAAACAAGGCTCCTCTGCTTTAGTCACCAAGTCAGAGTTGGAGGCAGAGTAAAACACTCAATGAAATGTCTGGAAAGGAGGAGGAAGAGGAGGGATAAGAAAAGGAAAAGGAGGAAGAGAAGGAGGAGGAAGAAGAGGCAGTGGCAGCAGAGATTCTCTCACCTTACAATCCCCACATCCAGCCAGTCCAGAACCTGACTGTCTGAAGGGGACGATGCACGCACAGTCCCAAGAATCTATCCTCACCCATCCTTACTTTCACACCCCAGGAGAGAACCAGTTTTTGCTCCACTCCAGCTGAACCTGACCCCTGCTGTTCTCTCTCCTAGAGAAGCACCCCTAATGGGCACCCATTCTTGCCAAAACAAGGGGCTGATGGGGAGCAGGGGCCCAGACCTTCTTTTCTAGTTTATGTCCTTTTTGGACCTCTGATGTGTATAACTGGAGACCCAGAGCACTCCCTTCTCTGAGAGGCCTCAGGTTATCATCAGCCTCTCGGAAACGGTTTTCTTTACCCATCAGTTCACCTTGGCTGATAGTCAGGAGTTTCTAGGTATCCTTTTGACTGCACAGGAGAAGAATAATGCCTGGAGCCAGCAAGGCTACAAAGGATCCTAGGGTGACCGCGGTAGAGGCCAAAAGAAGAGCCGAGGGAATATGGCCTTCTACTCTGCCAAAGTGGAATCCCAACACTGATCAACATAAGGGAGCACTAGACACCTATCCCTGGGGCCTCCTGAACAGGAAGAGAGCAGTAGCTAGAAACCAACTAATCTTAAAGGTGTCTAAGGTAACTCAGGGAAATCAGGAAATCTGCTTGATTCCCGGATCATCTTCAAGAGGTTTGTTGGGTATTCACCCCCATTGATCTGGCTGCTGCAGAAAACTAAACACTTGAAAGATACCATTTTCTCTCTACCCCAGTGTCCTGTGTGCCAACCTATATCTGCTTTTTAATGGACAGATCTCTTGACTGAGTTTTCTGTCCTGCCCGATTCCCGCAGTCATTAACTCCCAAAGAAATCACACAGAGGTCTACATTAGTTATAAACTGATTGGCCTAGTATCTCAGACTTCTTATTAACTCTTATAACTTATATTAGCCCATTATTCTTGTCTATGTTAGCCACATTGCTCGGAACCTTTTTTCAGCGAGGTAGTCAAATCTTGCTTCCTCTGCGGCTGGGTTAAGATTGAGGACTAAGCTTTCCTCTTCCCAGAATTATCTTGTTCTCATTGACCTGCCTCTACTTTCTATCTGGTTGTTCCACCTATACTTCCTGCCTGGCTACTGGCCAATCAGCATTTGTTTAAAATATAATTGACAGAATACAGACCATTGTACCACATCACAGACCCAAGTCAGGGTTTAATGACCTACTGATCTGGACTTAAGTACCACAGGGGTTTAAGAATTAAGCCTTCAGTGCAAACCTGCATGAATACCACCAAGGGCACCCTAATTTCACACTCTTCCAGTATGCGGACGACCTTCTCATCACTGCACACACACTGAATGAGGGCAAAAACCTATTGAGGAACTGCTTAAAACGCTCCAGCAGCTCAGCTGATGCATGTCTATCTAAGAGGCCCAATTGTGCTTCCATAAGGGAAGTTATCTGCCATATTGCTCAGAGGGTAGCAGCAGGACTCTGTCCTTGAGCAGGATCCAAGCTATCTTAAACATCCCAAGCCACAAAATAAAAGTCAGGCGAATACTGCAGATGATACCTAACTTTGCAGAAATATTAAAACCATTATGCAAGGGCCTAGGAGAAAATGACCCCCTGAACTGGAAAAACAAAGACAAGGAGACATTCCAAAATCTCAAGAAGCCTTTGATGTCAGAACCAGCACTTAGGATGCCTGGCAGTACTAGGTCTTTCTACATGAATGTGAATGAATGGCACAGGGTGGCCAAAGGCATACTGACCCAAACTTTGGGACCCTGGAAAAGGCCTGTGGCCCATTTATCTAAGTGTTTAGTCTGCTGCAGCAGGACGAGCACCTGTATGCACACCATTGCCACCACAGCACTACTGCTAAAGGAAACCGAGAAACCGACCACGGGCAGGAGCTGGTTGTCACCACTCCTCCCTCCATTACAATGCTCCGCTGAGCTTCTGAGCGCTGGATGTGGAATGCATGCCTCGCCCTCTATCGAGATCTCCTTTCCGATGCACCCAGGATCAGTTTCTCACCTTCTGCAGTGTTGGATCCAGTCTCCTTCCTTCCTGACCCTGAAGAACAGCTTTTTGGCTTCTATAACTTCTCTATACAGATACTCAAGGACTTCTTGGGGTTTTTGCCTTTAAAGCCCTTCCTTTATCTGTCTCTGGGTGGCTCATTTGTGATTTGGGTTAGAGACTGCAGGCCTGCGATCAGTTTTAATAAATTTGGCTAATTACAATCTGTGTCTGGTTGTCTTTTCCTGGTGGTTTTGACCTCCATAACATCAACTTCATGGGTTCCTTTGTTAGTCTGGAAAGTCCTCCAGCATCCCAGGGTCATCTGGGTTTGGGTGTCACTCCGTCCTCCCTGTAATTCCTCCCTGCTCCACCCCAAGCCTTTCTGGTGGCTGTGCTCCTAGATGTCACTCTGCGGAACTCTGCAGACTTTGGAGAGAAGTATCCTTCTCCCCTAGACTGTGAGCGTGTGTGACTGGTCTATGTGTTCTGTGTCAGGAGTGGTTTGCAGAGGGAACATGGCTACACTGACCATTGGGAGAAAGATGGGGCCAACAGGGTTTGTGGTTGCTCCTAGTGAGCATGGATGAGCTAGGAGAATCAGATAGTTTTTCTGGAAAAGAAACTGAACCAGAAAGTACCAAGGGGATGAGTGAGGCAACCAATGGGGGGGGGGGGAAGATATGCTGGAGGATGTTGAATTAGAGCAAAGTTGGAGGCGTCATGGAGACCCAACAACAAAACATCACAGCCCTGCGCCTTCATATTCTGAAGCCCTGACAGCTCTGAGTTTTCATAGTCCTGAAGCCCTCAAGGCATTCGGGGAAGTGCTTCTCTTTTCCAATAGTTCTGACAAAAACTCAGGGCTGGGTCACATGCTGCTCTCTGAAGCCATGCGGAAGCAAGGGCAAGGGGTGCTGTAGGTCAGCCCAGATTTCACTCCTGGTGCTGGCTGTTGACCTCGCTGTGGTTAAGTGTGTTAGGCTCATGATGCAGAAGGGATGTTGTCAAGGCAAGCCCTAAGCATGCAACCCTGAAGCTGGGAGCCATGTCAGCATGCACGGGCACCGGTGGGCGTCTTGCTTGGGCCTTTCCCCTTCATCAACCATTGACCAAGCCACCAGTTCTGAGTGTTATGAATTAACATTGTCAATGTTTCAGCAGCACACCTATGGTTGCTGAACTCACCCATCTCTGAGACCAGATGTGTGTCTCAGTGGTAGACTAATTGCTTACTGTGCAAGTCTCCAGCATTGCTGGAGACAGGCAGATAAACAAACAAACAAATGATAAACAGAACCTTTAAGAGTAAGCCCCTGGGAATGTGCAGGAGGAGCAGAAAAATAAATGTGTGGATGACACTCTTTACGCTCACGTGCAAAAGGCCGCTTCACTTTTCCTTATCTGAGAGTAGAGAAACCTCTAAGCTAGGACGGAACAGTATCCTAGCTCCCTTGCCTGAGGATGGTGTTTCTGGAGGAAACACAAGAGGGACCCTGGAGTGAAGGAGCGAACAGGAAAGGCGAGCAAACCCGACACCTGGGGGGTCACAGCCTGTGGGATGATGCCCCTCTCCTGCCCGGACGCTGCTCTTCTGCTGAGCAAGGGATCCCCAAAGTTCTGCTTTCCAGGTCCTTCCAGCTTCACAGGATGTCCGGGGAAATAGTTCCTGAGTTGGGTCGAGCTTGACCCTTCTTGTATTTGGGGAAATAGAAACCAAGACCAGTCCTTTTCTCTCTGTGATGGCTGGGAAGGTATTGCCTGTGGCTCCCAACCCCACAAAGAGAGGGACTTGCTGACCCTGCTGGGGTGCAGGCAGGGCTTCTGACTGACTTAGAAGGGGTGCCTCCCCCCACCACACCTGTCCAGCATTCAATAGACAAGAGATGAAAGGTCAATACTCAGTGGTTTGAGCTTCGTATCCTATGTCTTCTGTTGTTTCCTCACACACACACACACACACACACGCACACACACACGCACACACATGCACGCGCACACACATACACACACACCAAGAGTTGAATGACGGCCACCTATTTCCTTTCTATCCAGCAGATCCACCTCCACAGGGCTATTTACCACTGAGTGGTCGGCAGCGCAGCTCCATGACACAGGCTCCTCCTTGCCTAACAGGGCCACTGCTGATCCCTGCCAGAATGGCTTCTCTGTTACTGGATTTACAGGGTTCTCAGTCACTACCCATAGGCCTATGGGAGGGTGGCTCCAAGATTTAAGAGAAAGACATGGGAATGAGTTATGGGAACTAAGTATGAAAAACTGCACATGTCATGTACGGGACAAGGCGTCTGCAAGCTTGTGATTGACACCTCCTGAGACCGGCTGTGAGACTGGCCGCTCACTGTCACCAGGACTGTAAGCGCCCTGAGGCGGGGGTAGGAGAGCAGGGGATTAGAATCTGCCAGGCTCTCCTGATTTAGGAGGGATGTCTTGGCTAGCAAGTGGCAATATTAGCTCTACTCCTGGTTCCAGCTCCCTCAATGCGGTGGGAACACTACCCTGAAGAATGTCATGCTCTGTCTGTCCCCCGGAGGCTTTCCTTCTCATCCTATGCCCAGTGAGCAGCAGGAAGCCCCACAGCAGAATTTGTTTTCGTGTCTTTGTTTTGGGTTTTTAGGACAGTTCTCTCATTCTGTAGTCCAGGTTAGCCTCAGACTCACTATGCAGTCCAGGTTGGTCTCTAGCTTGGTGATCTTCCTGCCTCAGCCTCCTGAATGCTGGAGTTACAGATGTGTTATCATGTGTCTTACTTACTTTTCTACTGCTGGCCAAAGAATTTATGAAAAAAGACATTATTTTGGGGGCTCATGGTTGCAGAGGGCTAGAGTCCATGACCACCATGGTGGGGAACACAGCAACAGCCAGGCAGCCATGGTGCTGGAGCAGTACCTGAGAGCTTACATCTTGATTCATAGGCGTAGGGAAGGGAGGGAGAGCTAGTTAGGAGCTGCATGGGCTTTTGGAATCTCAAAGCCTATTGCCAGTGACACCTCTTCCAACAAAGCCACACCTCCTTCCTTCCCAACTGTTTTACCAACTGGAAACCAAACATTCAAATATGCGAGCCTATGGGGACTATTCCTAGTCAAACCACTGCACCATGCCAGTTCCAAAGCAGTGTTCATTCTCCTGGAAGAAGTGTTACAGGTCTCATTTAAAGCAGTACTTTGGGCCCAGGCTTCTCTCTCTCTCTCTCTCTCTCTCTCTCTCTCTCTCTCTCTCTCTCTCTCTCTCTTTTTAATTAATTCTGAAAATTCCAGAGACATCACCAATATGGATTTAATTGCTAGTGAAGGTTTTATAGGTCGTTCTAAACCTGTGGGTCATGACCCCTTTGATAAACCTCTATCTCTGAAAATATTTACGATTCATAACAGTAGCAAAATTACACTTATGAAGTAGCAACAAGAATAATTTCATGGTGGGAGGCACACGACATGAAGAACTGTACTAAAGGATCGTGCACAAGGAAGGTTGAGAACCACCAGCTTAGATGAAGGTGGATCCTACTTCGTATTCTCTGACAGCTCTTCTGATATTGTTTTCCTTGCCATCAGCCCCTCTCCCACACCATTTGTGAACCCATCATTGGATTGCTCTGATGTTAACTTAAAGTGGCTTCTTTTATTGTTTTATTGATTAAAAATTGTCGTGAGTCAGTTATTAGGGTGAAACCTGATAGATCCACAGAGCGACGGAGAAAACGATCAGTGACCGCTACTCCCCATGCTTCCGCTGATGGCGCTGGCATCTCCTTTGGCCTCCCCTTATTCCTCTTGTGTGTCTGTCTATCTATCTCATCTGAGTCCTCCAGAAAACTCTATGGTCTACTCCTGTCCGCTGAATGTGGACCCAGTTCTCCATCCAACTTTGGTGGCAGTTTCCGAGCAAGAGCACAAACAAATCTCTAGCAGCACTAACTCTGCAAGGTAGCAGAGACCTCCCAGTCTGAGAACTCTATCCCACAAGTCTGCCCCTACTTCAGAAATTTGGGATTGTTAGGTTGCCAAGTGATCTACTCTTCTGTCTGTCTTATAGCCAATAGCATTCTCTCAGTTTTGATGCTTTCCTAGACCCAACCATAGAACTATATAAACACTAGGTAGACTATTAGAGTTTATGGAAAGACCTGGGCTAAGGTTTAGCAGGTCCTGAGCACCGAACTTCTGTGTTTGAGAAGTGAGGGTGGGATTGATCCTTCCTTTATTTTCTTGTTTAAGTTTTTTCTTTGTTTGTTTGAGACAGGGTCTCGTGTGTCCCAGACTGGTCTCAAGGTCACTATGCAGCTGGGAATGACTCTGAACTTCCGATTCTTTCCTGTTGCTGTTTCCTGAGTTGTATGATCTTTGGCATGAACCCCGACACCCGTTTAAAGGCGGGTTGGAATGGAAGCCAGGGCCTTATGTGTGTCAGACAGTGCTCTACCAACTGAGCCGCAGCCTGAGCCCTACTTTCTATTAGGTATTAGAATTCTTGTGTTTCCCTTTGAAGTGCCTCTAACAGGGATGTCCGAGAGTGGGGGTGAGGGACGCGGAAACTTCTAGTCTTTCTGGAATCAGAGGCCATCTAGAGAGAGCCTGAATCATCTCACCAATGTGAACTCAGGTGTGCTCAGAGGAAGCACAGTATGAACAGCCAGGGGCATTCCTGTCATTCAGGAGTCAGGGTTGCAGGAACTCTAGACCAGGACCCAGTCAGAAACCAAATTAAAGCATCTCAGGGCTTTTCCTCTGCTCTGTCTGCAAAGTTCCAGAGTTCTGGGCGGGCAGTCACCTACACTTTGCCCCGCCGCAAATCCCCCTCCCCCCACCTTATACACTGACTGTTTTTATTTGTCTCTGAGATGGGGTCTAACTATGTGACTCTGGCTGCCCTGGAACTCACGTATGTAGACCAGGGTGGCCTCGAACTCACAGAGATCCTCCTGCCTCTGCCTCCCGAGTGCTACCTCAAGTCTGACAGAAATCAGAGGTCAATGTGGGCTGTCTTCCCTATTCTCTTTCCACCTTTATTGAAAATGAATTTCTCACTGAATCAGGTGCTCACTGATTCAAGTAGGCAGGCTGACGAGAAAGTGCTAAGGATCTTCCTGCCTCTGCCTCCCCAGCCCTGTGACTACAGGCACATGCTGCCATGTGTGTGCTGGGTAGCCAAACTCTGGTCGTCATGCTGTGTGGCAAGTGGTTCACTGACTGAGCATCTGCTCAGCCCCAACAGGATGCTCCTCTGCAATCTGCCCTTCCTCGGTGCCTGACCCAGACCCCACAGAAGAGGATCGAGGGTATGTGACTCTGAGGCACATTGAGGGGGGCGGGGCAGAGAGGAAGAGAGCTGCTGGGCTCTTGGCCTCTGGTCCTCCAGGAGGAGGGGACAGGGGTGACACAGGGTTTCTGCAGAGTCAGAAGGAAGGAGGCAGGGCTGGGGAGTGGACATGACCTCCTCGGAGAACATAAACCACTGCTGCTGGCTCACAGGACAGGCCTTTGGGGGACCCGGGGACAGGAGCAGTGGCAGAGGATGAAGGAGGCAGAGTTGAATGGAGATGTGGCTCGATTCTGCAAAGACAACCAGTATGTCTCCCTACAGCCTGGAGGTGAGGACACTTAGGGTTCCCGCCTGTACCCTGCCCTCTGACCCCATCCATGCCAGTACAGAAACTCGTCTCATACCCATCTTCGTCAGGGTGAAATAAATGGGTCAACAGATGCCCAGAACTCTGAGAACCCGGTCTCTGTATGGAACCTTTAAAGCCCCTCCACTGGGTACAGTAACCCGAGGGAAGGAAAGGGAGCTCTCTAAGTTCAGATGGCCTGGTTTTGAACCCCAGCGTTGAATACTGCCTACCCACCATGTCCTCTGGGGCTGGTGGTTTCTGAGGTCATTAGTGGGTGTACCCTTGCCCCTTAACCGCAGTGCCAAGAAGGCAAGGGCACCTGTAACAACAGTCCAAGTTCTGTGGGAGGCTCCAGGAATGCAACCATCCATCCCAGGGGCTATAATGCTTCTTTTAGTCAGGTTTGTTAACAAAACTGGACCTGGAGGTCTGGGACCCTGCCATAGGCCTCCTTTTCATCTCTCCTCCTCCTTCATTTTCTTCTTTGTTTCTGATCATACTTCTGTAGCCATGCCTTCTGGGGCAGGTTTTCTGTCTAGGACACCACTACAGCTTCTGAGGGGTGTGAGTTGCTGATCTTTTGTTTGTCCACTACAGCTTTTTGAGAGATGTGAGCCCTTGATCGTTGGCTGTTGCCTTGTCCAATGCAGACTCTGTGAGGTGTGTGAGGTGTGAGCCGCTGATCATTGGCTGTTGCCTGGTCCACTACAGCTTTCTGTGAGGTGTGAGCTGCTGATTGTTGGCTGTTGCCTGGTCCACTGAGAATGCTTCCTTTTCCTGCCTGTAGCTCCCCTGTGAGAATATGGTGGCTGTTCTCATCTCTAATGGACAAGCTAGAGGACTGTTTCAGAGAGTGGCAGTCCTAGCCCTCCCAACACTCATCCCCACAGGCCTTGTCTTCTCCCATGCAGGGCGGGACCCTATACCAACTGTTCCCGTGGCTTCCAGGATGCTGAGACTTGTCCAGGCCTTCTTGACACTTATGGCTGTGTTCTTCTCTCTCCTGGCTCTTTTTCTGGTGGGTAAGTTCTCAGGTGACCTGAGCCACCATGAATTTTTCTTTCTGTGCAAAGATCCCAAGAGACCCAAAGGGCAGGTCTCTGGGTCTTCATGCTCTCTGAAGCAACAATTTACCACCTATCTCGGCCCAGACCTGAAGCCCATTGTGCTTTGAAATGACTCAAGAGAATGGAAACTTTGCAGGGAAGCTGTGTGGGGTGGTCCTTGGTGCCCCTCCCTCTTTCTGGTCCCTAGCTGGTGTGGGGCAGCCTGTCGTGCCAGGGCTGTGGATTGAGCTGACCCAGGAATGGCTACCTCAGGTTTACAGACTTGGAGACCCAAGCAGAATGAAGATCCTTCCTTCCAAGCCTTGTTTCTGAGAAGCAACTCTACTATACAGAAGCCTGACAGTGAGTAGTCACAATGAGATCGGGGATGGGGAGCCGGGCATGGGGGAGCACGGGCCCTGGGTCCAGCTTCTGTGGCCACATCTTAGTTCTGCCTCCCGCTTTCCTCCTTTAAAGAACATCATTTGAACTATTTTAATTTTTGATACAGGGTCTCATGCAGTCCAGGTTGATTTCAAATAAAAAAGCTAAGGATGAAATTAAGCTTAGGATCCTCCTGCCTCCACCTCTCTAATCCTGGAATTACAGGTGTAAGGCACTATGCCCAGATTTTGTGGTGCTGGGGGATGGACCCCATAACCTTGTGCAAACTAAACAAGTATTCTCTCAAATGAACTATATCCCCAAGCTCCAAATTGTTCTGTTTTAAGCACAGCTTTATTGAGCTATTGTAGTTGTAAATGTTGGGCACATTTTTAAAACCTACACTCTGATAAATCCTGGTGAAGAAGTGTGTTCCTGAAACCATCTCTATAGTCAAGGCGAGGAGTCAATTTACAATCACTGTTCCCATCCCCATCTCCCTGAGTTTACTTGTAGCCTTGATGATCCCTCCGATTCTCTCCTGACTTGACCTTCAAGTAGCTCCTCCTTGTCATGTCTAAAGAGCAGTTTAGTTATAGAGTCTCATAAAAAAAGGATCAAAAATTTATGTTCTTTCCTTTTTCAGTGCCCTTTCAGTTATATGATCGTGAGTAGTGCTGGGAATTAAACCCAGGCCAGAACTTCAATTTTTCCTATTCCTTCGTGTGTGTGCAGCAGTCAGCTCTCTCTCCACCCACCTTGTTTTTAGATCTGCATCCTTGGGCGATCCATCCCCAGAGTCTAGGAAGCTGCAGGACCCGTGGGCTGCCCTCGGAACACTTAGAGCTGTGTCTGGAGGTTTATCTAATGCATCCAATGTGTCTGCTATCTAATGAATCTGCTATCTATGTATCTAATGTATCTGCTATCTAATGTTTCTGCTATCTAATGTATCTTACGTATCTGCTATCTAATATATCTGCGGCAACACACATGTTACAAAAGCAGCTTAAGTAGGAGTTTGTCTAGGCTTCCAGTTTGAAGGACAGTTCATCATGGCCAGAAGGTGGAAGGCATGGAAGCAGGAGTTGATCACATTTGCATCAACAGTCAGGAAGGAGAGAGCTATGACACTGGCTCTCAGCTCTTGCTCTTTTTTATTCCGTCTAGGACCCTCCCCCCCCCAAATCCATGGATTGGTACAGCCCACATTCAGGGTGGGTCTTCACATCTCAGTCAAACCTTTCTGGAAACTATCTTATAGACACAACCAGAGGTTTGGCTTCTGGGTGATTCTAGATCCTTCCAAGTTGACAGTATTAACTTATAACCTAGAACATTCTGATTCGCCATCTGAACTTCCCTACATAATGGGCTTCAATGGCACCCCTTGTTTCCTCTTTTCAGATCATCCCTACTCTGGCAGCATAGCAGAAAAGCAAGAGGCTACCCAGAGGGTTAGGGACTATGTTGAGAATTCTAACACTTGGTACGAGGAGATACAGATGCTGAAGTACCGAGTGGAGAATGTTAGTTCTCAGGTCCAGTTGCTCGGGGACCACCTAGAGGATGCCAGTGCTGACATCCAGCAGGCAAAAGGTGTGCTGAAGGACTCAGGTTCCTTGGCTTTGGAGACCCAGGCACTGAGAATCTCCTTGGAGTCGGCCAGTGCTGATATCCACAGTCTGAGAGGAGATTTGGAAAAGGCAAATGCTATGACTTCCCAGACCCAAGGTCTCTTAAAGAGCAGCACAGAAAACACCAGTGCTGATCTCCACATCCTGGGCAGAGGCCTGGAGGAAGCCCAGACTGAGATCCAGGCATTGAGGAGAAGTCTGCAGAGTTCCAATGACCTCAGCTCCCAGACCCAGAGCTTTCTCCAGCGCAGTGTGGACAACACTAGTGCTGAGATCCAGGCCATGAGAGACCATCTGGAGAGGGCTGGTGACGAAATGAGTTCATTAAGGAAAGACCTGCAAACAGTCACTGCCCAGACACAAAAGGCGAACGGCCACCTGGAGCAGACGGATGCCCAGATCCAGGTGTTAAAAGCTGAGCTGAAAAGCACCAGCTCCTTTACCTTCCACATGGAGGCCGTCAATGATCAGCTGAAGGATGCCAGCAAAGAGTTACAGACCCTGAGAGGAGGCATGACAGATGTCGAGGCTCTGAAATCCAAGGTCCAGATGCTACAGAGCAGTCTGCAGAAGGCCAAGGCAGACTTGCAGAGTTTGAAATCAGATCTGGAGGCTACCAAAACTCTCATTGCCAAGATACAGGGGGAACAGAGTCGCCTAGGAGCCCTGCATGAAGCTGTGGGTTCACAGGAGCAGAGAACTCAGAGTAAGTGAGAAAAGTGTGTGTGTGTGTGTGTGTGTGTGTGTGTGTGAGAGAGAGAGAGAGAGAGAGAGAGAGAGAGAGAGAGAGAGAGAGAGAGAGAATAAACCCTGGGAGATGTAGCCTCTGGGGAGGATGATGGTCTTTAACCCTTTAGCCTCTTTGTTTACCTCAAAATCTGGGGAGGAAGATCAGTACTTTAAAAAAATCTGATAAGTGAATCTAGTAGCAGTCAGGCTGACAGCCATGTCTTCAACTTGCCTCCTCTTCCTCTTCAGTGTGTGCAATGTATGTACACATTACATATGATTGCACATGAATATAGAGGCCAGATTATCTTCCTTAGCCTTTCCCCACTCAATCTGTCTTATATAGCTATTATCTACCTATCTGTCTGTCTGTCTGTCTATCATATATCTATCTATCTGTCTGTCTGTCTATCTATCTATCTATCTATCTATCTATCTATCTATCTATCTATCTATCTATCTTTCGTTCTATCCTTGAGACAGTCTCTTATTCCTAAGATTGTCTTTAAGTTTTGCTATCTAATCATGAATGACCTTGAATTTCTTATCCTCCTGCCTTCACCTCCACGAGTTCTGGGAATCCAGAAGTGCCCTCCTATGCCTGCTTTATGCAGTTCCGTGGCCAGAACTAAGCACTTTCTGTAAAATAGGCTAGCACTCTATCCAGTGAGCTACATCTATAGCCCTCCTCACCTTAATTTTGGAGACAATGTTTCTGACCAATTCCATTAAGCTGGTTGGCCAATGAGCTTAGGAGTCTCACCTGTCTTCACCTCCCAACACGGAGACTATAGGCACACCATGTCCCACACTGGACTTTTACGTGGGTGCTGGGAGTTGAACTAGTTCCCCATGCTTGCGCAACAGCCATATTATTGATTAAGCCACCTCCCAAACCCTTGAATTTTTTCTTTAAGTGCAAAACAGAGAGCATTTTTGGTTTCTGCATTCTAAGGTCTCTAACTGCTTCCTGCTGCCATATTGAGGAAGCAGCCACAGAGACCACAGGGCTTCACTTTTGGAGAAGAGGCTGCCTATCTCCGTTTTAACCTCAGATCTCAGACAAATGCCAGAATCACCCACAGAGCAGGCACAGCCATGCATGCATGGTGTGTGCTAAAGCGTGTTTGGGAGTTGAGCAGAGAAGGAGCATGCATCTCAGCCAGTTTCCTGACGCTGCTGGCTCAGCCAGGTTGGGACCACATGTCGCGAATCCGTGTTTCACACACTGACCCTCTTTCACGGAGACCTTGGATCTTGTGCTGTCATTGATGTTTCTGCCTGATTAAAAGTGCCTTCTTCCTGGGTGGGCCAGGGGCTCAGCAGGTAAAGCGCTTGTTCCCAAGACTGGCAACCTGAATTTGATCCTCAGAACCCACATCGTGGGAAGGAAGGACTGCTTCCTGCAAGCTGTCTCCTGGCTCCCACACGCGTGCTGGGTCACATGCATGTGACACCCTTCTAATAAATAAATTAAAAAATGTAAGCTGTGTCTTCATCCTGTCTTGTCTTCTCCAGTTTGAACATTATTCCAGAGAATGTGGGGTTGTGTGAGAGTCTGTGGGTGGGGATGAAGTCAGGAAGGGAAAGAGGTTAACTTGTGAGTTGCAGGACTAGAAGCAGACTGACCTGGCCTGTGACAGTTGAGTGGGAGAATATTGCATACCAGAAAGCAGCCATCTGCAGAAAGCGTTGATGGGTGAAGAAGCTGAGACAGAGACACCTAGGTGTCTCGGAAGATGGCCGTTAGGATAGGACATGGGACTGGGGAGTGGCCTCCCAGCCCTGATCCTAGAGCACAAGCATTGGGAATTGCCAAGGCTTGTGGCCATCCAAGGTCAGACCTGAGACAGTAGAGGCTGACTTTGGGGCATCACTGTCTGCTTCTGCTTCTGATCTTCAACCTCCCTCCCCTGACTTCTGTTCTAGATCAGCTTCTCCAGCTGATCCTGCAGGGCTGGATGGTCTTCCGCGGAAGCATGTATTACTTTTCTTATGAGAAGAAGTCGTGGCATGAGGCGGAGAATTTCTGCACGTCCCAAGGAGCGCACCTGGCATCAGTGACTTCTCAGGAAGAGAAGGTCAGAGCTGCAGGCTTGGGGCAGGCTAAGGGGTGGTGAATGTTTAGGGACACATAAACTTAGCCCTTTGTCCTCCTAACGGGCGGTGGAGCTTCTCATGTTCCCATCAGTGACGAAGAACTATTTGCTGGGCTCCTAAGAGAACTCTGTCCCGAGGAGGAAGCACAGGCAGCTACTGCCATCTGCACAGAGAAGGAGGACAACCTTCTGGGGAGGACCAGGGCCCAGCAGATGCCCTCGGGGGGGGGGGGAGGAAAAGACGTTTGTCCCACTCTTCGGTTTCGGGGATGTTTCCTCAACTCCTGCCAGCCTTCCCCTCGGGGCAGCAGTCTGCATGGGTATACCCAGTGGTTGAGGGAAAGGAGACTCTGGCCCTCTGGGAGCTTGGCTCACTGCTAACCACCTGGGGACTCTCAAAGCCCTGCTACCCTAGATGCTGTCCTTAGAGGGCCTTCTGCTCAGGGCCTGGAAGGAGCTCATTTGGCTATCAGAGGATTTTGCATGGTTCACTTTAGTTCAGCTTGCAGAACTGTCCCTTCCTTGCCGCTCTCCCAGGACTTGTTACAGTACTGCTCAGAATAAACTATGATGAGAACTTCTGTCCCAGAAAACTCCTTCTCAGGGGTGAGAGTTATTCAAGACAGCCAATATGGGGGAAGCTGGGCTTCCAGAGGGACTTACCTGCTACCTAGATACTGTATAAACCATGGAAGGTTCTGGAAGCCCCTGCACTGAGAAGGGCCTCCTGCTCAGGGGTCAGGGAAGGGATGGTCCAGGGAGTCAGCTCCTCACAGCCCAGCCTCCTTTGTGCAGGAATTCCTGGCAAAGTTCACAAGTGACGAGTACCATTGGATCGGGCTCACTGACCATGGCATTGAGGGCAACTGGCGCTGGGTGGATGGAACACCGTTTAACCAATACCTGAGCAATGGGTGAGTCTAACCTCTGTCTAGCACTGTTTGGGCACTGTCCTGTGGTGTGGGAAGTCCTTCTGTGGATGTGTTGCTTTTATTGGTTAATGAATAAAGAAGCTGCTTTTGGCCAATGGCTTGGCAGAATATAGCCAGGCTGGAAGAGATATAGATAGAGAGAGTAGGCAGAGTCAGCAGAAGCCATGGAACCACTGTTGCAGACTGGGCAGGCTTTACTGTCCTATGTGTACGGTCCTGTCCACTGAGTGTTAGTTTTGTGTGTGCATGTGTGACATATGGAGTGTGTTGTGGTGTGTGCATGTAGCATATGTGTGTGGTTTTCTATGTGATACATGTGGTGTGAGTGATGGGTGTGACATGTTTGATGTGCAACGTCTGTGGTGTGTGATATGACATGTAGAATGTGGCCTATGAGGCCAACACAAGAACATCAGGAAAGGACAGACCCTGGGGCTGGCAGACCAGTTGTCTTCTTGTTTTTCTGATTTCATTTGTTCATTTGTTTCTTGATTACTTGTCCCTTGCCCGTGTCGATGGAGCGCAGAGCCTCCAAGAGCCTCCAAGAGCCTCTGAGGCTCGGAGCCTGAGTTCTGTGGAGATGCCCCTGCAGAGCCTGGATCAGAAGGAGGGCGGTTTCATCAGGGTCACTCAGCAGGCTGCTCTGGCTCCAGTCCTGTCCCCATCCTGAGGTCTGTCTTTATGCACAGGAAGGAATACTGACTTCTCTAGCAGAGTAAAGCCATTTTCTTCCAGGTTTTGGGGAAAAAATCAGCCCGACAACTGGAGACATCTGAATGGGGAGGTTGAAGACTGCGTCCACATGAGGCAAATGTGGAATGACATGATCTGTGGGGCTGCCTACCCCTGGGTGTGCAAGAAGTCCACAGGTCAGGCTGTGGCCTGAGTGGGCCAGAGCAGTCTTTCCTTCTCGAGACTCCCAGAGCCTTGGACTCACTGCAGAGTTCCTTGGGTCCTGTGTTGTTGTGTTGTTTAATCATGTGAAACACGCTTGCCTCCTGTGGCCCCCTTCAGCGAGATGACTTCTTAAAGATAAGCCCTGCATGCTTGTGTCCCCTCAGCACCCCAACATGCCTGCCCAACCAGGTCTTCAATAAACACCCCCTGAATGGATGGAAACTTGGTACTCGTTCATCCCTGTGGCTGCCTTCACACTCCTGTCTCTCTGGCCTGGCCCTCCTCCCCTCAGGGTCTTTCTGTTCCTACAGACATCCTTTCCCACAGGCTCTGCTGTGACTGTGCCGACAGCAGTAGGGGCTACAAAAACTCCGGGGCCTTCTTAGGTCACCCCAGTGTTCCATGGGTTTCTTCTGGGTGCAGATGGGGTCCTGTTACTCTCCCTTGTTTTCTGGGGTGTGAGGTCTCTGCTCCATCCTCCCATTCATCTCTCTAATCTTTACAGGGATTCTACGTTCTGCTCACCTTAGGATGAGACCCTCAGGTGCTCTCTGTTGGTGCCTGTGGAGCACTCTATCGATGCACAAGGAATCTCATGCAGGTTTCTGGATCTCTGTCTGTCTGTCTGTCTGTCTGTCTGTCTGCCTGCCTGCCTGCCTGTCTTCTGGTCTCGTCATACTCTGCCCACAAGCTGCAGTAAGTTCTCTTTCCCCAGCATGGGTAGAATGCCATACCTAGGTTAATACTATCTTCCCTGTCCTGTGGAAGAACCTTCAGAAAGAACGCCATGGGGCCACAGGCTCCCCATTTGCTTCCCAGCTCCCTAACTTGGCCCAAAGTTTTAGTCTGCCTGTGGTCCAGTATCTGGAAATAGTGGTTTCCTCTATGTATGAGTCTTTTAGTTGTTTACAGCCAAAGAGCTCCTCCAGCTGTGTCCAGCTGTGGCAGTTTGGGGGACGGAGACATGGCTCTGTGGTTGAGTGAGTGCTGCTCTTGTGGAGGATACTAGCTCAGTTCCAGCACTCTTGTCTGGAAGCCTGACTTCAGCTACAGAAGGTCTGACTCCCTCTCCTGGCCTTGTGGGCACCTGCACTCATGTGCACAGTTTGATACACATACCTATAATTAAAATAAATATTATAAGAAAAGTGGAATATCTTAGATCTGTCATATTTTTGGCTGAACAGAACTTTATCTTATTCATACTTATTTTTAGCATCTTTTTGGTTTATTTCCTCCTCCTCCTTTTGTTAGTATGTGTGTGTTAGTAACCATAGAAGCCAAGTGACTCCATGTTTGATTTTATTTTATTATTATTGAAAATTCATACAACATATTCTGATTATGTTTCCCTTCCCCCATTTCCTCCCAGATTGTCCCCATCTTTCCACCTATCCAGCTACATGCCCCCCTCTCTCTCCTTCTCTCTTTCTCCTATATACATCACTTATTTGAAATGTCAGTTATACGTAGGATAAAGTCAGTGTTACATGCTTACCAGTAACAGTAGAAAAATAGAACCAGTGAAAACCTCTGTACAGCTGTGATGGTACTCAAAAGAAAAATGAATCGTTTACAGTGCTTCACACAGATGAGTTCAAGTTTGGAGGTACCTAAATAAAAATACTACATATTTCTTTTAAAACCACTATGTACAATCAAAGAGTAACCAAATTTACAAAGTACTGGTTTTTATGTGCCAGTTGTGGCACAAACATGGCGGGGGGACTCGGGTTTTCAGCCCTCCTCCCCCATCTAAGAGCACAATTCCCTAGGGCCTACCCAGACAACCTGGACAGTCATGTGCAGGCAGGTACACCAGGGGACTCTTCCAGAGCGTGTCTGATCTCAGCGCTCACATAAACACACAAGTAGGAGAAGATATTCCCCAAGATAAGAACTTGCAAACACTCATTCTATAGAAATGACCATGGCACCCTAGTATTCTGAATACGACAGATTGGTACAGTCATGAATATATTTTTTAGGGAAAACAAAATCAAAAGTCTTGCCCAGACAAAAGCCACATGAAAACTAATACAACTGATGGAACAAGGAAACTCACACTTCACAGAGCACTGTTCGCAGAGCAGAGGTGAGAGAAGATAGTAGAACACCTCTAGGGCGGGCAGATTAGCTCTAAGCAAGATTATCTGAAAGAGTCTTGAAAGTACCCACATGGTAGACACTGTGAACCTCTGCAGACCCGGAATCAGCACCATCACAGTGGCACTGATGGTCTGTTGACTACACAGAGCCTAACTCAGCCCTGAGAAACACGTGAATGCCTTATCATTGTAAAACAATGGCCTTATACAAATTTTGTGAAATGTAATTTTCCCTTAAAAGAAAAGTTCAGTATTCTGAAGACATGTCCCCTTCATTGTAGACACTGGGAGTGTCTGTCGCTCCTTCAGCTCCAGCTTCAGCTTTCATGGTGTTCTGTAGCATCAGCTTAGTTCAGATGTACAAGGGTTGTGCCCATTGCGAGAACTTCAACAAGTCAGGAAAGAAGAGACAACACAGGATGACAAATGTGAAAAACAAAACACCCCAAAACCACAGAGGATGGCCAATGAGGAAGCAGAAATCAAGAATCAGATTTAGTTGCATAAGAGGTACAGAAAGGTAAATAGCATCAACACAGTTCGCGAATATTTCGGCATGGGTGTGTGGGTGCACGCGCGTCCATGACATGAAGACTCAGAGACACAGGAGTATATACTTAGCCTTTGCAGCTGCAGGGGGCTCAGTCTCGGTGAACTGAAGCCTTCCCTTCACCTCCCAGCATCCTTATTTTTCCCTGTATTTACAGTTTGCTAGTAGATTTCAGTATCTCAAAACAAACTGATAGAAGCTTCCGACAGTACAATGCCAGGTGCAAATACCTGATTCATGAGGTTCCAAGTTTTGCATAGGCTTTGTATCCATGGGAAACTCTCAGTCAAGATTCACATAGGACAACAAAATGTATTTGTAACACAAAGGAAGGCCTAAGGCTGTGTAGAAACTCTGCAGCCAGGCTTGGTATAACCCGGGCTAGTGTAGGCTGCTTGCTATCTCTCTGGTGCCAGGTCAGCGGGACATTATACCACAATATTAGTGACCTGTTGAGCCCTAAAAGCTCAACAGGTCACTAAAATGCTAGGCCAGCTTGGGTCTAGGGACTGCACTCAGAAATAAAGCCAGCGGGGGTGTAGGGGAATTTAAGGATCTATGTTTTGGATGATTTTTAATTTTTCTCACTATAAGCCACAGTCTTTAAGTGCAAGTTATTTTTTCAAAACTAAAACAAAAATACAAGAAAAGGATCAACAGCATCTTGAGAACCTAAGCAACAATTCTCCAGCCTCAGCACTCAGAGGAACTGCAATGGTAACTTTCCAGACAGCTCGATTGTCCCTGGTTTGGTTCTTATTAAATTTCTATACTAAGAAATATTCCAGTTCCTGTGGCCTATTTTTTGGGGGGCGGGGGTTGAGACAGGGTTTCTCTGGATCTTTGGAGCCTGTCCTGGAACTAGCTCTTGTAGACCAGGCTGGCCTCAAACTCACAGAGATCTGCCTGCCTCTACATCCCAAGTGCTGAGATTAAAGGCGTGCTCCACTACCGCCTGCTCTAAATTTTATAATATGCATAAATACTTTCTTTTCTGAGACCAGCTCTACCCAGACTTCACATTTGTTAAGTACAGCGTTAAAAATCTTCATAGGTGGTTCCCACCAGAGGCACACAGTCTACTACACCCCACTAACACTATCCTATCACACAGAAAACCACATTTGTTTTATCTTTTGAAAGTCACACCAGTCCATAATGTTATGGTCCTAAAAAGCGGCAGGTGTACTGAGCAGGGCAGCAGCAAGTGACCCAGAGGTAACTCAAGGAGCAGCGGTTCCCTGTGAGCCAGCATCTGGCCATGGTGATGTGTGTGTGTGTGTGGGGGGGGATGGGGGGTGTTGTGTCCCAGGTAGGAGAAGGCTGGTCCTACGAGGAGCCATGGTGGCCTCCGTGGGTGAGAGGAGGATAGACACACCATGCAGAGAGAGTTTGGGTGTAGTTTTTTTTAGTGGGTTATGGAAGGGAAGGGGAAGAGGAAGGGGAGAGAGAAGGAGAGAAAGAGAGGGGAGAGAAAAGAGAGAGAAGCAGCAGTTACCTCTTCAGAAGTAGGACCAGAGGTGGGGGAGGGGAGGCAGGTGATGATCTTCGCAGGCTAGAGGAAGCAGAGGTGGGGAGAGTGGGCAGGGCTTGTCTCTTAAAGGGGCTGGGAGTGGTGACACAGGCTTTTAATCCCAGCACTTGGGAGACTGAGGCAGGTAGATCTCTGTGAGTTCAAGGCCAGCCTGGTCTACAAGACCTAGTTCCTAGCACAGGCTCCAAAGCTACAGAGAAAGCCTGTCTAGAACATAATCTAATAAGTAACTAAAAGCAAACATTATACTTTAAATAATGCCATGAATAGTGTCCACTATTTTGTATAATTGCTTCATGTGGACAGGAAAGCACATTTAGTGAATTTCCAGGGAAATTAAGTGTGAGATCAAGGGTCTTATATGTAGAGAAACAAAACCTGCCAAGAGGTGAGCAAGCTTTATGTGTACTTGCTTCTCTATGGCCCTACCTGCACAACGCAGTCTGATCTGGAAAGACTTCAAACCGTATGAAACAGTTCCTGTCAATAGGTCCCAGACGCACAGTGAGGAACAGAATGGAACTGCCTTTTGCTTCTGCGATCTGAGACTGTGCTTCAAAAGGTACCAACTCTTAAAAATAAGTAGATCCCTGTGGTTTTCTAACTTTAAGGAAAAGGTGTCTTAAAAGTGATGTGAGCCACTTTGCAGCAAATGCACCTGCCCCATGCAAGCCTCTAAATTCAGATGTACATCATCAGGGTCGGCCAAAGTTCAGGGATGCATGAGGTAACCCAGATCCAGAACGAAATTTTATAATGTATACTCACTCATAAGTAGATATTAGACATAAAGCAAAGGATGACCAGCCTACAGGCCACAATCCCAGAGAACCTAGGTAACAAATAGGACCCTAAGAGAGACATACATGGATCTGCCGAGGAAAGGGAAAAAGAACAAGATCTCTTGGGTAAACTGAGAGTGGGGTGGAGGGGAAGGATGAAATTGGAGAGTGGAGGAGGGGAGGGGAGAAAAATGTATAGCACATTCCTATCCAAACAATTAAAATGAGAAGGATTTTAAAAATTAAAAAGTATAGAAAATAAAATCTCCCTTTAACAAGAAAGAAAGAAAGAAAGAAAGAAAGAAAGAAAGAAAGAAAGAAAGAAAGAAAGA